TGAAGAAATACAGTGATGAGGCAGAAAGGTTACAATTACCATTTTTCTTCCTTTTTAAAGAATGGAAGAGATTTGAGTGTTTGGAAGCATTTATGATTATATATTGAAGGCAAAAATGAGTATACTCTCTAAGCATTTCTCACTGTAGGCTTGTTTCTGTGCCATCCTCCAGGGCTGAATGTGGATGGAGTGTTGTTGAAGGGCCTCCAAAAGTAAACATTGTGACCCCACTCCAGGATGGCACAAAAAAATAGCTGATTATTTAGATAATGAAGAACTGGGCTCTGCCTCCTGTGGCCTGGAAACACTATAGTGTTTTCCTAACATTTTTATGTCCACAATCTACAGAACATGTAAAAGATTCCAACCTAGTACACCTCTCATCCATACTTGTGAAAAATACTTTACTAGTTGCAATACATTTTGATCTTTATTTTTCTCATCTCCCTATGATATTCTGTTCTATTTCATTAAAAGGGAAAAGAAACCCTGGTCAGGATCCATGTGAATGGATTTGCTGATGTGCAGTTTGACCAGCCCTGTTCTGTTCCATCCTTGACTGTAGCAGTGATGAACTGTCACCGACACCTACATTTTATATGTGAGGCCTAAGGCAGGTTACTTCACCTCACTAGTCTCAGTTTCCACATCTGTAAAATGGGGGATGATTTTACCTGCCCAACATTTCAGGTTGAACATCAGATGAGACCCTTCATGCAAGAGTTTTCTCTCTGTGAAAATGCTACACAGGTGAAAGATTATATTATTGCCAAAACTTTAGTTCTTGGCAGAGTACCCAATACGTTATTTGCTGATTTCTCACATTGAGGCTTGAAATGCTCCGTTTGTGTCTGTAGTCATCTTTGTGGTTGGTTGGTAAGATTTTTTTAAAGAAATGGGTTGGTTGATTTTTAAATAATGGTTCCGATGGGAGTCAGCACATGACAGTCATTGTGTTTTAATGTTTTCTTGTTAGTGGGGCTCTTACCTTTACGAAGTTGATCAGTGGAAATTAAATGAGCATCATTTAGAAGGGACGTCAGTCCCCTTTGTGTTTAAGTATTATTATTAGTAGCGTTACTGGCAGAGTTGTTTTTTGTTTGTTTGTTTGTTTGTATTCTGCCACCCATCCTAGTAAGTCCTGGGGAGAGAAAACCTGTTTTGTCCCCAAGGCAACAAGAAAGCAATATCAACTTAAGCCCCACAATCCTAGGAGGCTTTCAACAGTCGTTCACCTTGAATCCCTCTTGGCTAATTTGCAAATAGGTACATTTAAACTAGGCATCCTTACCGAATCAGTGTAAATTAATCCACATACATGCTTAGTTCTCCTGTGGGCAGTAATGCTCACCAAAGCATATGCTTTAGATCTTGCACTTGTATCTTTTGTTATGGTAAGTTATTTTCAAAGGCCATTACTTGCTTTTAGACTCTGTGTGCTGAGAGATAAGGAGATGGTTTGTGTTGGCAGAGAGTGAGGCTCCTAGCCTCTCTTGGTCCCAGAAGCTGTCATTCCTGTGTACGTGTTTCACTGGAGGGAACTGTCCCAGAATCAATATTTGCATAGGAAATTTTCCCCAACCAACTTTCATTCTGATCAGATAAAAGAAAAATTGAACTCAAAAATCTAAATAACTCCTTCCTCCTTTTCCCACCACATGAGCCACACCACTGGAAGGTATAAAGAGAGAAATTGTGTTTTTATTTATTTTTTGACATTAATCTATGCGTTAAAGGGTCAACAGAGCTCTCCCTTTCAGGGGACCATATATATTTTATACGTGCAGCTTCATAGGATAATCATAAATCCTTGTCTAGGATAAATACACTTTTGCTCCCAAGATGCATTCTTAGAAGTGTAATTGTTCATATTTCCAAGAAAATAATGTTATTTATGCTGTCTTCTCTTTGTCTTTAGGGGGTTGAGGTTGAGTCCAGCAGAACTTTGAGAGTTTGTCCATTATGCAGATTTAGCTTACAAAGTTAGCTTTGCCAAGTCTCTTAACTTGCTTTTGTTTCTAATTCTCACTGTGTTAGTTTCGGCATAATGCTAGGCAACTGATTTTGAGGTCTTTTAAGATGTGACAATAAATGTAGCATTGTTGGGGATAAGCTAGAAATAAATACAGGACTGACACTTTATCCTAGGTTTGCTTTTATGTTCATCTATTCCTCCTTTAGTTCTATCTATATGTATTAAGAATTATTCCTAAAACTTAAAAAGTAGTGTGAGGTCAGGTGAAGTGGCTCATACCTGTAATTTCAGCATTTTGGGAGGCCGAGACAGGAGGATCGCCTGAGCCCAAGAAGTCCAGGCTGCAGTGAGGCATGATGGTGCAACCACACTCCAGCCTGGGCGACAGAGGGAGACCCTGCCTCAAAAACGATGTGTTAACTCTCAATCTGAAATTATGATTTAGTGTCCTGCATGTTCTATGTTCTAGTATAATAAGGTAAGAATAAGAAATGCCTATACCCTAGAGCATTGTTGTTTTAAAACCAAAACCATGAATTCAGTAGGCTAAAATATTCTGAAATTTAATTTTCTTCATTTTCATTGAAATTAGCACTTTAAAGAGCAAAAATTCAAATAAAGCACAAATGAAGTGCCAAAGTATGGTTGCTTTTCATGTGAAGTTATTTTGCATTAGTATATGATCAGCTTGCCCTCCAAGAAAATTACTCTGCATTCCAGGATGAGGAAAGGCTTCTTCTATTATTTCAATTGTTAAGTAGAGTTCCTTACTTCTGTAACCCATTGCATTTTTTAAGTGGAATTTAGGATATTATTCTATGTTTTATTTTTCCCTTTATAGTCTTACCTCTAGTTTTTCAAAGAAAACACGAATGTTTTTCTTTGTTCTTAAGTTTCCTTCTAGCTGGGTAACAGTAGCAACAGGGAACCCCCTTTGAACAGTCATGAATGGAACTTTTCTCTGAAAATTAGAAGAAAAGCATCTACCTACCTCTTCCTACCTTGCTTTTAGATGCTCAGCTGGTCAGAGTTATCCTAGTTATCCAAAGAGTGAACAGAAGAATTTCTCTCTTTTCTTCTTTCATAAATAGTTACAAAAGTAGTAGCTTATTATATAAGTAGGCATAGTCAAGCAGTGCCGTTTTGATCACTTGGGGATACATTGTTCATGCCGGTTAGCATTTGCAGAGCCCTACTGTATGCACAGCATTATAGGTAGGCTCCGTGGTGGGCACCACACAGCAGGCATGAATGGCATACAAAAGCAAAAGGTACATGAAATGGTATTTTAAAAAATACAGAGCAGAGAGCACAATATTTAAAAGTATACAGGCCAAGCGAGGCGGCTCACGCCTATAATCCCAGCACTTTGGGAGCCCGAGGTGGGCAAATCACTTGAGGTCAGGAGTTTGAGACCAGCCTGGCCAACATGGTGAAACCCCATCTCTATTAAAAATACAAAAATTAGCTGGGCATGGTAGTGCACGCCTGTAATCCCAGCTACTCGGGAGGCTGAGTGAGGCAGGAGAATCGTGAGGTGGAGGTTGCAGTGAGCCAAGATTGTGCCACCACACTTTAGCCTGGGCAAACAGAGTAAAGACTTTGTCTCAAAAAAAAAAAAAAAAAAAAAAGCCACAGAATAATGCAAACTGAGTCAATAAGTACAGTGGGTGACCTCACCATCAGCTAGGTTGGTATGCTTTGGCCTACTTTTGATGGAAAGGGCGAAAAGGATAAATGGCATGGTGGATGCAAGGAATAACTAATAGGAGTAATCCTTGATTGCTTCTCCTTCATCTCCTCTTTTTTCTCTTTCCATATGCAATTCATTGGCAAGTTGTGTCCATTTTGTCTAAAAAAATACAGCTCCAGTGTTCCACGTTTTTCCTGCTCATTGCCACTTCCCTGATCTGAGTCATTGTCATCTGCAGGCAACATTACAGCAACTAATGTCTCCCTGCCTCTGCTCTTGTTTCTCTCAAGTCTATTCTCCACAAAGAAGCAAAAAAGAACTTTTGAAAATATACATCAAATCATGCACTTCCCAATTTAAAATTCTTTTGTGGTTCCCCATGTTCTTAGGCTTAGATCTGAATTTATCGTGGTCTCTACTCTCTCCAGGCTTGTTGAATGTCACATCTCCTGCTATGGACATAATAGCTGCTCCGTAAATATTTGTTAAAACGGAAGAACAAATTATCTAGAGAGAAAAGTAATCCAGTCATTATGCGTGGATCAGTTATGTAAAATACATTTTGGTGTTGAATGTCAGTGTGAAATTGGACATTTGGAGGAAGCTAGAGAGTTCAGAGAAGCCCTTCAATGATGAGCAGGAGAAGTTCAGACGCCATGAGATAAGCAATACATAAGCCAAAGTCTGGCACTTGTTGTTTTTATATTTTTTGAGACTAATTATTTTAGCATTGTGCCCAAGCTGGATTGGATTAGTGAGAGGCTGGAGTCAGGGGCTTTGTGTAAGAGGTCATTGTACCAATGAAGAAAAGGTGATAAGGGCTTGGATAGGGAGATGCTGGGAAGGGAGAGATGGATTCAAGACTCCATGATATGGAATTTTGTGGTAACAATGCACTGAGCAACCCAGATATAAAATACTGTGCTTCTTTTATTATATGACATTTAAACTGCCAGCCAGAAAGCCACATTAAAAAATATATATGGCTGTTCTCACATGAAATGAATAGAAGTCTTCATCTTATATGCCCAACTGCCCTTTTGGTAAAGCACAATACTGATATGATGATGTCTGGATGGGTTTAGGTGAAGAACAGAATTAAGACTGAATTTTCTCACTGCCATTGATTTAATGCATGTGATAATATGCATGAGAAGTACCCAGTGCTATTAGCTAACTTCACATTTGATTAACAAAAAATAATGCCATTTTTACATTTTGTGAATCTAACATTTTTTCCTGCTAAATTGTGATCTGAAAGAAAATTATCTGAAGCATTTTTTCTTTGATGATATATTTGTTTAATAGTGTTCTTTTTTTTTTTTTTTAAAGCAATTGAACAAGATGAAGAAAACAATGACAAACATGTAGCTGTAACAGAAGCCGAAAGTGTTCCAGATTCTCAGGTATGATCAATTCTGTGACAGCCCCTCATCATACCCGAGTGTGCTGAGGGTGGTGAGACAGTGCAGGTGTTCAAAACTGATATAGGTTTTACCTTTTATGTTTTGTAAATAGCCACTGGGAATAAAGTGCTCAGTTTTGATATAAAGGTATTCCACACTAAGGGTCCTAAACTGGTAATTATATTTATAATTTGATTCATGGGAGAGGGTCGGATAGACACACTTCACTTCCCAGAGAAAGCAAGGGAAATGAGTGAAGGGCAGATGTTCCCCTGAAGCAGGCAGTGGAGAATGAGCCAGCTGAGAGCACCGGCCTGCCAGAGGTTCTGTGCCACCTCCCAGTAGCTAAATCATGGCATGAATATGCTTTAGGTAGCATACTTCCAAATACTATTGCACCATAAAATCTTTGGACACCCTAGTGCTGCCAGCTGTTGACTTTACACAATAGTGGAGCATTTAAAAATTCCGACTCAGCCTAGTTGACTCATCTCACTTCACCTTTAAGGTTACAAATCTGTTGATTCTGGTCAGACGAATCACATTAACTTTTTCAATAAAGGTTGCCTGGACAGTAATGTTTTAACAAAGTCACCTTGTTTTGCTGTGGTAATATTAAACATGCAGCAGTCCTCAAGTTCATATTAAAATTATACTAAAGGCTTCCAAGCAAACCTGTGCAGGGATTCCCCAGTTCAGTGTATTTACCACTTACTCCAAGATTTCCTAAATTCTTAAATTACTAGTGGGACAAGGGTTTCTAAATTTAAAATATTGTTGTTCTTTATTTGTTTTGAACTTATTCTATGGGTAAATGTCTGTTTGAATGCAATTTTATTTCTCAAAAGGATACACAGACCTTACTGTTCAGGATTTTGTGATTTTTATTCAGCAATGATTATGTAACTATATCTACAGGACATACAGAGGGATGAAATCATGAAACCAGTAGATTGATAATTAGATCAGGAACAGAGTCTACGTAGGTTTGAAAGTTGAATTAAGTTCACTGGGCAGCATGACATCATTATAAGTGTTATAGGCCTAAGCTGGGTAGGAAGGCAGGCAGTTGTCACCTCCTCTGGTGGTGAGTAAGAAAACTTGATCTGCTACCATAGTGGAAACACCAGTTTTATTGGTTTAATTCTACAGGCCCATCTATAGAAATTCCCTGGATGGAATAAGTAGTTCAAATCATGCAAGGTGAACTTAAAGAAAACTTAGAATTTTGCCATCAGATATGTACGCAGAATTAGAAATAAAAATGTATGCTTATTGGTGTGTACATATGTGTGTAATTTATATGTACAATTTATTTGATTGATGTATATACATATAGTGGCTTGAGCACCTATTTGCCAGGCCCTTCACAGTATTTCGAATTACTTCAATCTTCATTCCAGAGCATATTTTAAGCAAGTTAAGTGGATTCTGATTCCTCCTTCCCCATACATGATGAAATGTGTTACTGTGGGAAATGTACCTCTAGGCTGCTGAAAACTTGGGGTCTATAGAGGGTTAAGATGGTCACTAAGCCCAGAGAGACTTGGCCTTGTTGTACACAGGCTTCCCATCTACCAGAGATCTCTCATATGTTGGCTGCTTTTTTCTTACTAAAAATACCTTTTCTGCTTAGGAAACTCCCTGTTTTAATGCTGTCACATGTGGGTGGAGTGAAGAGAGCATTAAGAGTTGGGTTGGCATCCCAGCCTTTCTTCCTTAAAGGGTGTTCCTTAGTGGCTGTAAACCTGGAAGATCCTGTAGGGCACCTAAGTCTTTGTCCCCATGGTGTCCCCACTATGCTAGGCAGTACCTAGCATGCATGGTTTTCATCTCTGCAAAATGGAGATATTATAAGCGTCTCATGAGGTTGAAATGAAGCAACATAAAAGGCTTCCGGCAATCCTGGCACATAGGAGAGTTTCAATAAATGTTGGGCAGCATACTGTAAAGACTAGGGGCGCTGCCTCTGGGGCCACACTGCCTGGGTTCTTTTCCTGACTCTGGCACAGTAACCTTGGGGGAGTAACAGGTGCGGTGGTTCACACCTGTAATCCCAGCACTTTGGGAGGCCAAGGCGGGTGGATCATGAAGTCAGGAGTTTGAGACCAGCCTGGACAACATGATGAAACCCTGTCTCTACTAAAAAAAAAAAAAAAATTACCTGGGCGTGGTAGCAGGCACCTATAATCCCAGTTACTAGGGAGACTGAAGCAGGAGAATCATTTGAATCCGGGAGGCGGAGGTTTCAGTGAGCCGAAATTGTGCCATTGCCCTCCAGCCTGGGTGACAGGGCGAGACTCTATCTCAAAAAAAACAAAAAACAAAAAAACCTTGAGCGAGTTAACTCTCTTGTGCTCCTATCCTCCTTTTCTGTAATAATACTGGGAGCAGTATTATTACACTTAACAATAACATTTGGGCAGCACTTCGTATATATTAGACCCTCTAAGGCTCTTTGTTTTTATTAATGTATTTATATCTCACAGCAAACCCTCCAGGATAGGTAGTTTAATTACCACCACTTTATAGATGTGCCAGTAAGGGATGGGGTCAGGTCTCAAACCAGGGCAGTCTGGTTCTGATGTCCTTGCTTTAAACAGCTGTGCAAACTGCCTTTCTAACCTCTGTAAAATGGAAATAATTGTTAGATTGTTCTGAAGATTGAACGACTACATGTGAAGCAGTTAGAACAGCGCCTGACACACAGTAAGCACCCAACAAAGTCAGCCTCTGTCAGTTATTGTCACTCTGACCATCTATCTCATTGCTTTTTGGTTGGAAGTTCTTGTACCTTTGGTTGGAATATTTAAAGTATCTAACTGGGCCGAGTTGCAGCATTACTCTCTGCCAGATGGTATCTTCACAGACACAAAATATTCTAGTCCCTTCACTCTATTATAGGATAAAAGGATTTAAGAATCTTTGTCAAAATGTACTGAAAATTTGCCTGGTTCTAGCTTTTAAGAATTCTAGTGAGATCTTTAATTAGTTATTAATTGATTGATTGATTGATTGATTGAGACAAGGTCTCACTCTGTCACCCAGGCTGGAGTGCAGTGGCATGATCACAGCTCACTGCAGCCCCAACCTCCTGGGCTCAAGTGATCCTCCCACCTCAGCCTCTTGAGTGGCTGGAACGACAGGTGCACACCACTACATCTGGCTAATTTTTTGTATTTTTTGTAAAGACAGGGTTTTGCTATGTTGCCCAGGCTGACCTCAAACTCCTGGGCTCAAGCAGTCTGCCCACCTCAGCCTCCCAAGGTACTGAGATTACAGACGTGAGCCACCACACTTGGCCTTGAGTAATTTATAATGTGTTGAACTTTGGAAATTCTTGCTTTGTTCCATTAGCTGTTGGCCACTGGATTCAGTGACTATTTTCATTGTCTCCTATCCTCCATTTGAATCAATCATTCTATTATTAAGTGATAATTAATTATACAAATTAACTGCTAAATATTTGGTAACTAATTTATCAGTAGACTATAACTTTTAAAAATATGTATACTAAAGAACTTATTTAAGACTGTCAAAGAAAATTGATTATCCTGTTAAATCTTTTATGTTTGATATTATTTGAGTTTGCTTATTCTCTTTTTTAACTTTTTAATTATTTTTTTTAACATTGCTACCCTGCTTACCAGTGTGGTTAAGAATGTATACACAAGTCTGAGCTGTAATTTCTCTTAGGTCAAAATAAGAGAAAATATTGGTGGCCTCCCTACTTTAGTCTGAACGTTAAAGGAATCAAGTATGTGAAAGGAATGAACCCCTTACTTTATCAATTATCTAAATTTATAGTACTATATATTATGTAAATTTATAACGCTATATTTTGATTTTAATCAGAAGGGATAATTTTCTAAATACAAAAGATTAAGAAAGTACTTGAGGGGAAGAACAGCGTAAATTTCATGTTAGTGTGGTTTCTGTCTTATTCCTGGCTCTCAGCATGCTCTGGCAGGATGCAGCATTACACAGTATTTCTATAGGGTGGGTCTGTCCATCCTATACAAAGGTGATGTTTTAACACAAGGAATTCCACAAAGGAGTAGGGCCAGAGAAACTGAATGTCCGTTGCCTTGCCTGGACAGTGAAGGTCTAGGAATTATGAAATGATTTCTAAATCTCCATCATGCCCCAGCATGGTGTTTGAGGCCCATACCAGTGACTCCCTAGGGATTCCTCACCTGCCTTGACCATCACACTTTCAATTAGGTACATTTCTCACTGTGGATGCTTCGTAGTTCTTTTCCCAATTCTCAAGGGGCATATTCTTCTATCCGTAACAGGGAGAGCTTTCTCATAGTCTAACATTTTTCTCTGAAGAAATTTGAGAAAATGAATATTTGTAGCCCTAAAATTACTATTTTTTGACTATGAACTGTCTTCTGAATTTTCCTGGAAAAGAATTCTTAATATTTTCTGTTTTGAAAATAAGGTGCATATGGCCGAGCATGGTGTCTCACGCCTGTGATCCCAACACTTTGGGAGGTGGAGGCAGGTGGATCACAAGGTCAGGAGATCGAGACCATCCTGGCAAACACTGTGAAACCCCATCTCTACTAAAAATACAAAAAAAATTAGCTGAGCATGGTGGTGGGCGCCTGGAGTCCCAGCTACTCGGGAGGCTGAGGCAGGAGGATGGCATGAACATGGGAGGTGGAGCTTGCAATGAGTGGAGATTGTGCCACTACACTCCAGCCTGGGTGACAGAGCGAGACTCCATCTCAAAAAAAAAAAAAGAAAAAGAAATAAAGAAAATAAGGTGCATACAATAGAATAATATATCATCTAAGCTCATCAGTGTTTTATTCTGTCATTTATATTTCTGTTTAAAATGCAAAAAAATTATATGAACTTCTAGGCTTAATTTTTAATGAAATTAAGATATTATGTAGTAATCAATAAGAATTTATCTGAACACCCTGAATTTGAACTGAATAGCATTCTATTATTGCAGAAGTGCTTTCATGAAAGGTGGACTCTTTCTT